TAAGACAAAAACAAACAGCCTTGAACGAATCCTGGAACAGTTCCGCCTAGATAGGTATCTGAGCATGATTCATTCTGCAACTAAACACTCGCCACAACCATCTTACGAATACATGATAGAATAAAGTGTGACGAATGAAATCAGATCACAAGCTAAGAATGCAGTTAGTGTATGTGTGAAGAATAGAACCGGTTTGTATCCGGTGCGGTATTATTCTCGTCAGCGTCGCCACATTCATCCCTTGCTTCGAAACTGGATTTTTTCGTGGCCTCGTTGCATATGACTGACTTGTCTTGGATGCATGTGGAGACGCCGTTGGAAAGAACAAAAAAAGCAAAACAAACCATGTCATAAGGCGACGTGATCTGCTGAGATATGTCTTAGATTTGTTTTGATCCTTGTATGTGGTTTTGATTGGTTGATCGAGTTGATCGGGATATAGGCAGTCTAGTATGTACATAGTACACTGTACTGTTCGATTTGGTATATACACGCTTGAGGAAACTGAGGGACGGATCACGACAGATCAACCTCTGGCTGTCGGGGCTTGAATAGGAATTCCACGGTCGGATCGCAAATCGACTCTGTTCCGTGCATAAAGTTCATCGGTCGCGTTGTGCGGCCATCGGCGAACTTCCAGTCGTATCTCATGAGGAAGTGGATGAGGAGAATCTTCACTTCGTTCGAGGCGAAAAAGCGTCCCGGGCATGCATGCATGCCGTGTCCGAAGCCGAGATGTTCCGGGCTGGTGGTCACGAACTGGAATCGGTGCTCGTTGCCGGGTTCTTGACGCTTCTTGTAGAATCGGAAGCCATCGTACGTCTTCGCGTTCGGGTAGAGAATTTCATCCTCCATGTTGTGCGCCGAAACTGCTACGCTGGCGCCCTTGGGGATGCGGGTGCCGTCGGACAGCATAATATCTCCCATAGCGAGGCGATTGAGGAAGGCTGTACTTGTATGTCAGAAGAGCCCTTGTTGAGGCTTGAAGCGGGCTGGACTGGGTGCTTACCAATGCCAGCGGCGTGCATTCGCTGGGATTCCTTCAGTACGCTATCCATCAATTTCATCTTGGTCAAGCTGGTCTTCTTCAATCCGCCGTCTTCGCGAACGATAGCAATGATCTCGTCTCTCAGTGGCTGGATGTGCTCCGGGTAGGCTGTCAAGTCGTACATAATGTTCGTGAGGAGGTTAGAAGTCGTGTGGATCGCCGCCAGGGAAAGGCCGACCTGAGCGACAGCGATGTCTAACGGCCGGCCAGCAGCAACCTCCTCGAACCAGTCCAACGTGTCGGCGTGCGTCCTCGGAGGGTCCTCTTCAGGGAGCTTGCCTTCCCGGATGAGTTTCCGCTTTTCCATCTCACGGTTGATGATGCCGGAAGCGATGCGAATGTCTTTCCGGGTCTCACGAGTCGACGACAAGAACCAGTGGACAAAAGGACGGAGGATTGAAGGGTAAAGTCTGAGGTCACGAGCAGCAACGAAAGCGTGAATGGTATAGTTGACGGAAACGTCCAACCACTGCTTGTCGCGACAGATTTTCTCACCCAGAAACACAAGAGAGGACAGGCGAGCTACAATATGGGGAATCTCCTGTGCAAAGTTGAAGGAGAGCCATTCTATAACTCGTTAGAAGGTCTACTATCATCAATGGATGTGAGTCACGTACCCCCAGTGTCCGGTAGCTTTTCATTCATGACTGCAGCTGTCTCTCTCGAAAGTGGAGTGATCAGCTGGCCTGCCAGGAAGTCAGTATTCTACTTGACAATGTTCCCACCGGACCACCTTACCAAGCCCTTGAGTAATCTTCTTATTGATCACTTCAAGGAATATGCCCTCGTGATCTAATCCATCGAACGGCTCGAATCCTGGGATCTTGGATCCAAAAAAGCTCTGGCTATATGTCAGTGTTTTCTGTGTACATACCCACTAGTGAGTGGTACATACCTTCTTGTTTGCTTCATTGAAGTCAAGAAGTGGATGGTTCTTAACTTCGTCCACTAGGCTTGGATGAAGGACAATCGTTGGCCTAGCGGAGAAAACAACCTGGAACGACTTTCTACCCTGCAGATATATTAGCTTCCGCCGCTAATGCGTTGGCAGCGCACTTTAATCCATACCTGACTGAAACCCTCAGCGAAGAGCTCCTTTGCAGACGTAACAAATCGTTGCTTGGCTTTTGTGTTTGTGATTTCCCATTTGCTTTTGCCAATTAGGGGAATATTCTTGTATGGAAAACTATCTGCTAGTTCATGGTAGAAGCTGGAAACAAAGACCAAAACTAAGGCCAGTACGACCCCCTGCAAGAGGTGTTGGTTATCGAGGACCTCAAGGATGACTGCCATGGCCGGAGTGGGTAGCGAAAGGCGCTGTGAAAATCATAAAAAAGAGGGGCCAGAATAGAATTTGGTGTTGGAACCGCCCGACTACTTATACAAATATATACTTTTGAAACAACCGAGTTCCCAGATGCCTTGTCTCCACTCCATCCTTGTCTATGAGGATGGATCATCGAATACGCTTAATACGACGGGAGGATCGGGTGTGAAATGAAAAGCCGCTCATTGACAGCAACAGGGTGGGCCGGAGGGAATGAACCATCTGGGCGACTCAGGACGAAGGATGGATATCGGGTCTCCCTTTCGCCGAGTTGTGATTGACACAAAGGTTACCCAAGGAGGAATGTCGGTTGGGAACCCCCGTCGTATCGTGGTTGGAATACGTTCGCTTTGCGACGGAATACGGCACAAACATAGTCAGAATCAGCCGGCTGGTCTAGCCTGCTCCATGGTAAGCATAAATCATGGCTGTGCTTTATGTGAGACTGCGACCTGTTCTCATCTGGTTAGTCAAATGCCATTCCACTTCATCGTCAGATGCTTCGATTTGTCTATTCGTTCATTCGTTTCTTCGTTTGCCTCCATCCGGGGATACGCTAAACCGTATTCGGACCACGTATTGGCGTATCGCGGGGGATGCCTGAACACCTTATGTCTTCGCTGAACCGCAAAGTGCTGACCAGGAACAATTTAGCTCAAGGATCGGAGGGTATGTGCTGTGTCTGTGTTGTGTCTGTGTTCTCGTGAGTGCATCATTATGAGTCTATTCCAGTCACACAAGTCAATCCAGACCGTGGGCCATTCAGAGGGACCAGAAACTAAGTGCGGGTGATCAACCGCGACCGGCCCATATACGGAAAGTCGTTGGTGATGAATGGCATCCAAACAACTGCAAACGATGGCCGTAAAATGAGTTGCAGACATCCTCATCGTCGAAGAGAAGATCAATGAAGACTCAAGGAGATACGGAGCAGGAAAGAGACTGCGGCCGGCGAGAAAGACACGATGCGACGAAGCCTTATCTCGTGACGCCAAGACAATGCGGGGAAAGCTGCCCTTCAAGACCCAACTGGTCGGTCTCTTTCTCATTACAACCTCATCGCCTGGTTTAACTTTCTGGACCGTGGTGGCTTGGAAGCCGGTCGGATCGAATTCTCTAGCTGCTACCTGCTCTTCTTCGATGACTGGCCTTTGTTAACCCCAACATTCTTTCTCGGTACTTCTGTAGGGATAGTCAGTGCTTATCATGGGAGACTACGGGCCCGGAGTGTCGTCGCTCACGACACAATCACCTGGGAATCCGCCTATCTCTGGTACAGATCAGGATGAGATCTCAGTTCTTGTAACAGGCTTTGGGGTAAGCTTTGAGCTTCTATGTCGTTCTCCTAAGATCGCAACTCACATGTTCTACAGCCATTCAAATCTAACCTAGTGAACGCCTCATGTCTGATAGCCTCATCACTACCACCCTCATTCACCTTCTCACCTGCCTCTTCAGACGGATCCGAAGCTGTTCCCCGTCGGGTTTCGATAAATGTTCACCCTTCACCCATACCTGTTGCATACTCCACGGTGCGGACGACACTTCCTGTCATTCTCGATGACTATGCCAAGACGCACGGGGGCCGGCGCCCAGACATTGTCATTCACATTGGCATAGCAGCAATGAGGAATTATTATTCCGTTGAGACGCAGGCTCATCGCGACGGGTATCTGATGTCCGATATCAAAGGCAGATCCGGGTACGAGGATGGCGAGAAGCTGTGGAGGGAGCTCGACTTGCCACTGGTGCTGAGAGCTGGCCCCTCAGAGGGACACGCCTCGGAGAAGAAACACCTCAGCCCTCGTCCACCGAACGATGACTTTTTGGCAGCATGGAAGTCCTTTTGCCCTCCGGAGACTGATGCGCGGGTCTCCACTGATGCCGGACGCTATCTCTGCGAGTTCATCCTGTACACCAGCTTGGCACTGGCGTACCAGGCGGGTGAGGATCGCAACGTTACCTTTTTCCATGTTCCTGCATCATGTTTGGATGAGGATATAGAGACGGGCAAGGAGGTTGCCGTCGCGCTGATCAAGGCTCTTGTGACTAGCTGGAGTGAGCAGCAACACAGCGTTTCCTAGCACCTGAATGGCTTTCTAAATTTTGGAGTTGTGACATTGAGTGATTACTAGCAGCTTTGGTTTATCGGTGGTTCTATCTGATTACTATAGTTTTGGTTATATTTGCATCATTGAATACGTGTGGGCGCCTGATGGTCATGATTGCATCACACCTAGCGCCGCACATTTCGAGCATAAGGATTGTCGGTATATAATCACCATCATCTAATTATTGGTGTTGTATTTGTGTAAGATAGACCCAATCTAGATTATATTTTCACGCCTTATAAGAACAAGCTCAACTTAAGCTAAGTATGCCGCCGTTAGTGCAATGCGATTTGATATCCCGTTGGCGGAATAAGAATGGCAGTTGCGGATATTGCGGTTATCTTATCGCTCTTATCGCCCATTTCCCTGCGCAACTTTCTTTGTCTCTCTTTCTTTGTCTCACTTTCTTCCACTTCCTCTTTCCAAACTACACATTGACTCACACAGCAATGAAAACACCAAACAATCCCAAACAACCCACACGCAATTGACAAGCACATAAACCGTACACACAATGGAAACACCCACCCTCCTCCTCCTCACCACCCTCACCATCCTCCTCCTCCCCCTCCTCTTCTCCCCCAAAGCCACCCAGATCCTCAAACACAACCTCAACCTCCTCCGCCACCACCACCCCAAACCCACCACCATCCACTCCCTCTACATCTACCCCATTAAATCATGCCGAGGGATCCGTCTCCCCCAGACAACCCTACACAAGCACGGCCTCTCCCTCGACCGCCGCTGGATGTTCATCGACGCAAAAACCAACCAATTCCTTACCATCCGACAAGACTCGCGCATGACACTCATCACAACAGCCCTTTCCGCGGACTCCTCCCACCTGCTCATCTCCATCCCTTCCTTCTCCAAGGACAAGGAAATCTCCCTCCCGACAAACCCTACTCCCGATTGGCTCGCGCAACATACTACCCTCGAACACGTCACGATCTGGGACACAGTAACGGATGCGTATGCGTACGGACCTGACGTCAACGCCCTATTCTGTGAATTTCTCGGCCGAGAGGTGAAGCTAGTATATAAGGGCCCTGAGCGCCGCATTCTGCGCGGGAACGGCGCCCCCGAGATTCTGGGTAGAGAGCAGGATACGTATTTCCCGGATGTGCATCCGGTGTTGATTGCTTCGGCGGCGTCGATTGAGGAGTTGAATGCGAGGTTGGTGAAGGATGGGAATGAGGCGATTACGATTGAGAGGTTTAGGCCGAATATAGTGGTTACGGGGGATGTGCCGTGGGAGGAGGATTCGTGGAAGGTTGTCAGGATTGTAGGGAATGGTAAGGATGGGAAGGAGGGAAATGGGGCAGTGGAGTTAGATGTCGTGGCTAGGTGCGCGAGATGTCAGGTTCCGAATGTTGATCCTGATACGGCGGAGAAGCATCGTCGGCAGCCGTGGGATACGCTTATGAAGTATCGCCGTGTGGATGAGGGGATTAAGTTCAAGCCTTGTTTTGGGATGTTGAGTGCCCCGAGGCAGGAGGGGAGGGTCGAGGTGGGTATGGGGTTTGAGGTTGTGGAGGTTACGGATGGACATCGGTATATTAAGGGTTTTTGAAAGAACTATACAGAACTCGGTGGGTGGTGGTAATCGTGATGTGATGTCTATAATTTAGTACTAGGAGGGAGATTGTGTATATATTACAATCAATGTTATCGGGACTGGTCCCAATCTAACTAGCCATCTATACAGTAAGTCCTCCGTAGCAGCTAATTCTTCATCTGCTTACTACTCGACACACACCAATTGTTCCAATCCGTAAAGAACGACGGCTGCACATGACACTTCTTGCTAATGAGCTGCGCCTTTCTCGTCTCACCATAAACATCCACCACCCCAGAAATCGTCTCCCTATCATGCGCCACCAGCGTCTTCACCACCAACAAACTAGCCTGACTGCACGCCGACGCATGCGCCGGCGGCCCACTATGCGTCGCCTCGGTGTGAATCGACTTCAACAGCTCCCAGACCGGCTCGATCTCATCATCCAGCTTCGGCAGCGCCGCGCCCTTGCAGTGCTTAGTGTACTCGCGGAGCACATTAGCAGCCTTATTCGAGATCTGCTTGACAGTGGAGCGACGGGTAAGGCGCAACAACGGCAGAAGGAGATCAAGCGCCAGGATCTTGGAGTGGCATTTCTTGACGTAGATTTCGAGCAGGTCAAGAACGCGGTTCTTGAAGTTGATCATGTTTTCCTTGGCGTCCTTTTTGTCTTTCTTCTGGCCGAGGGCGTCGCGTCGCGCTTTGAAGACTTTCACGAGCTGGGTGTCGATTTCTTCCATCTCGTCGTCGTTCATGTCTGCATCGGAGCCTTCGGAGTCGTCTTCGTTGGCGCGGTGGGTGCCCAGCGCTTCGGCGAGCTTGGCTTCGAAGATCGCTTCTTCTAGGTCGTTGCCGCTGGATTCGTTGTCGTCGTCGTCTTCGTTGTCACTTTCGTCGTTGTCGGAGTCGGAGCCGGCGTCGCCGTCGATGACTTCGACATCGCTGTCGTCTTCTCCGTCGACGTCCATCATGTCCTCGTCGCCTTCGTCGTCTTGCTGGTCGAACATTTCTTGCTGTCCGGCAAGACTTTCTTTCGCTTCCAGGATCTGAGATGGGATGTTAGTGGGGATTTTGAGGAAGTGGGGAGATGGACATACCGAGGTCAACGACTCCAGGCCGTTCTCTGTAATGCTGTCGGCGAAAGCACCAAAGACTTGCTCACTCATGCGGCGGAAAAGCTGGGACTGCTTGGATGCGAAACTCAGCAGGATTTCCACCAGAGCGTCCGAGGCGTCTGAGGCTTCCTCCTTCTTGGACTTCTTGTCGCCGAAGATCTTGGTGTAGCAGAAGTCGAGTTCCTCCAGCATGGAAGCGGCATCGGCGTCGCCGTTGTATACTTGCAGAATGGTCAAAGAATACAGGAGCTTGAAGGCATCGATGCTGGCCTTCTCACCCTTCTCCTATTATGGGTTAGTAATGGATGGTGGCTATGCCGACGATAGACTTACCATATTAGCGAGCTTCTTCAGTGACTTGAAGGCGTTCTTCACGGCGTCCTGGATAGTGTCGTCCATGTTGATGATGAACTTTCCGTGCTCTTCAGACTTGACTGCGTCACGGATGTGGCGAACAACGACGTACGGAACGCCCGCGTACTTTTCCGTAGCGATGAGACTGTTGATACACGAGTTGATGCGGCTCCGGAAGAGCTCCTGTGTCTGCTCCGTCACAGAGGGAGTGACGGACTGGTCCCGGCCTTCTTCTGCGGGCTTGAAGTAGGCGAACCGAACAAAGGCAAAGAGGATCTTCTCAAGGATCTTCTGCATGCCATCCTCGTCGTCACTGGCCGAAGCCCTGGCACGAACAATGGACAAGAGGAGGCCGGCCAAGAACTGACGGCTCGACGCAGCAGCCTTGCTGTCAGTCGTTCCCGGGGATGCAATGAGGGATTCGAAGAGCGGAACGATCTGCTTCAGAGCGGCCAAGTTGGCTTCAGCGACAATCTTCTCCACGGTCTTCGTCTTGGTTGCCTGGTCGAAGTTCACAGTCCCGGTTGAGCCCATGAGACCACGCACAGAAGCGGCGGCAAACTCGGGCTCCTTGGACACACGTGTCTGGACGGCCTTTGCGACCTTCACGGCCATGCGGTGTAGGTATCTGTCCTCGACAGCAAGCTGGTTCATCAGACACCTGACGAGGTTCTTGGTAAACACCAGGGAAGCCAAGCTCAGGGGAGATTCGTTTATGACCTTGTTGAACAGGAGGAAGCCCCAGTATTTACGTTCCTCTGAGGATGAAGAGGCGAAGAGACCATCTGAACAAGTATGTTAGATAGATGCTACCACAACTGAGGGGGAAACTCACTGTCGACAACTTCCGTCCAGAAGTCAGCGAAGCTGATACGGGACGAAGAAACCTTGGATTTGCTCTCCTTTGTGGGAGCATCGGCAAGTCTGCTGATGACAGTATCCCAGGCAAAGTGAAGCTTCGAGTTCCAGACTCCAGATGACTTTGCCTTGTTTCCGCCTTCGCTTTCGGTGTCAGCAGAGGAAGACTCCTTCATGACCTTGGCCAGCTGGTTCCTCTCCTTTGCGTCCAAAGGATCATCGTGCTTCCAGACCTTGCTGGGGAACTTCGCATTCGGGAACAGGTCCTTAGCAGCGAGCCAGATGGCCACTCCCTCTGGGGTGCGTGCAAGATCGTTCGAGCACAGACGCTCAAATGCGGATTCCAGGAACTTAGCATCAGCCTTCTGGGCCGCAAGTTCGTAGATGCAGCGATAGATGATCCAGCCGCACTCCTCCCGGATCCAGGGCTTCTTCTTGGCCAGTTCAAACACCAGGTCCAGGAGCTTAGTCCACTCGTTGAATGGAGCGTTGGGCTTGAACAGAATGGAGGACTTGATAATAGCCTCAGCACCAAACAGACGACCGAAATAGTGGTCTCTTTGTTCCTGTAGAGTAAAGTAAGCATTGCATTGTAAAGTAAGATGTGATCTAGATAAGGATGTATTTACCTGACCAGACTCACCACCAGAAGCATTAGACTGCGACTCCCAGATGTTCATGACAGTCGAGATATTCAGTTCGGACGACTCGCGGGGAGCTCCAAAGACCTGAGACAGAACCTCAGTCAATGCAATAGAGAAGCCAATTCTGGCGGCTTTGCGACTACTGCAGAGACCACGGAAGAGTCTCTGCAAGGTTTTTTTGATCTGCTCATCGGCGGGGTTCTTGTCGGAAGTGAACTGAGATACCAGGGCTTGAGCAGCCTTCAATCTGATCTCGTCCTTCTCATTAGCGAGGTCTTCATAGATCTCGACCAATTTGGTGTCGACGTTGACCGGCTCACGGCGCCGCTTTTTAGACGCGGCATTGTTTTGCGCCATTGCGGGGAATGAAGAATTGAAAACTTCCTCGCCACTAATTAAATGTATTGAAATGATTCACAGATGATGAATCAATCATAAGACAGTCGCTGGACAGACCCACGACGACTGGGATGCAGGAGTTGCTTGCGATTCCGCTTCCGAAAATTTATGAGGCGATTGGCTTAATCGGGTTAGCGCGCCCCGGACGGCTTGGCTTTTTACATAACACAACTTATACTCATAACTCACTATACTATACTACACTATCTATTGCTGTGTTTGTACCCTTTTAGGGAAAGCAATAATATAGCTAGGAACTGTGTCAGAGTATTGGTCTGCTTTATGTGTGGGTTTCTTCTGAAGAAGATTTAGGGTATGATGCGGCAGCACTTTGTGTTGTTGAATCGTCGCTGTTATCTTATCGCACTGCATATAAAGCCTCTAGATTGAATGCTCCAGTATATCGAACCGCTACCAATTACTATGCAGTGTAGTTGTAACTCACACATGATAAAGCTTAGGATGTTGCAACTTTATTCACGGTAGATTCAGGATAAATAACTGGAGGGTCATTGGTGCCGCCGTTGTTCATGTCATGATATTTCAGGTCGGGGTTTTCCCCTCGATGAAGAAGGCTCTTTGGTCTAGAGAAATTTAACTGAACTTCGTTGATGCTATTAAGATTCATAATGCTTCTTGATTGATCTAAGGGTCTGCATATTTGTCTTCCAAATTCGCCTTCATGTTCAAGCCCTTTTCCATAATCGGCAATCCCCAGCGCTTCATCCATTTTGACTGCATCAACTGCTCTGCCGTGGCTCTCTCACCTGGCTCATATCTTAGCATTGGCCATATTAAACCAGGTCAATGTTGGAAGGAAGTCTCTGCATAAAGACCGCGCGCCGGAGATCTCCCATATGGTACATACCGGTGTCCATATGCTTGAGGGAAAGGAGAATGGCTTGCTGGAAATCCTATTCTCTGGTGGCTGAAGGAAGAATATGATTCCTGAGAATTGTCGGGACTTTCTGTATCGGTTCCAAGGCATTCCAAAATTAAACAAAAAGATCTCTGTCTCTTTGAGAGGAGGTCCTTGATTGTATACGCCAAACCAGGTCTCAAAGAAAGCCCTAACAAGTACGCGTTTTGAAAGAACATTGCCATCATCGCGAATAATGGGCTCTGACTCTGGCTTTCATATCTCGAGTACGATTTTAGCGTGGAAAGCGTATATATCGCCTTCGGAAACTCGACTAGAATGTTCCCTAGGTGAATAGCTTGATAAGATGGTAGTCGGTTTATACAACTAGGAGAGTTTAATAACTACATATCGCCATGAGCAATATATTCATCTATGAAGAAAGGCAATCCCACGAATAGTTGATCGATTATTGACTGCGCAAACTGGGCTGAAAAACGCTCAATCCCCGAAGTCTCCTTCGTGTCCAACGAGCTCATTCGAGCTGGATAGTGACAAGGCATCTTTGTCTCTCATTGGGGCCAGCAACCCAAAACTTGTCGAGGAGAGGCCGGACAATATCCCCTCCAGGCTTTTCCGATAACGTTCTTAGGTAGCGAAGCAAACCAGGTTAATCTGTTTTGCCACTGCGAATGCAATGATGACCTTCACGGCGACATATCTGGAATCTTGTAGACCACGGGCCAGGAATATAGTGGAGTGCTCTCCATGCCCAAGCTTATGAATCAGTCGGTAGCGGCCTTCTGTCAAATCTATCTCCGACCTGAAGAGGAGAGGATGATAGCCCCAGGACAATATAAGATTAGCTCCTCCACATTCTCAATGAGCTGATATGGGCTCTCAAAATAAAAATAAAAATAAAAAATAAAAATGAAAACTCTTAGGCTTGGTATGCAGTGGGCTTGTCAAAGAAGACATGATATGGGTTATACCGATGTGCTCTTAGTTGAAAATAAGTACGCGCAGCTGTCCATAGTAGCATCTTGCTAACAAACGATTGCCGCGCATAGATGCCCGACGGAGATTCGTCGGTGGATAGGATGGTGACGCTCAGAATATTGCATTGCTTTTTCCCCTTTGTAGTGTCTTTCATCAATGCTTAGTGATGGCCTGTTCCACAAGGATTGGTGACGCACCGGAGAAAGGATACAGCCATTTCTTATGGAGCCAGGAGATAGGAACCTGCCTCATAGACTAGGTTTTTGATTTAAAGTTATACTGATGGAGTGAGCTTGCTCTGTCTTGTGAATCCATGGTATCAGCCAATGATAAAGGGGTAAGGGACTTTTCGATCTCTATATGAAGTTCCCCTAAGCGAAAATTCGTCGTTTCCGCCCATTGATGTCTTTAAGATGCCTTTTCATTGTGATGCAACCGTCAAGATAGATTGCCTGAGCCTAACTTGTTCACAACGAAAGACCGCTCTCTCGGAATAATGAGAGTATTGTCATTGATATCAGTCCTTTCATGGTCCTTGCCGTTGCAGTGGATGAGATTTGACGAACTCAAATAACTCTTGAACCATGCTACAGGGGATATATAGACTTACAAAAATTTCAAGTTCAATCCTTGCCTCAACCCTTCACGCCCTTCTTCACAGACTATACACTCATATTACTTCTCGCTAGCTTGTCAACCAACCTAACGCATATCCACGATGAGTTCAACTACTAGTCTTGACTTCATTCCTGCGGAGCTTATCGTCTATATAGGCGATTTCCTGGAACCACCATCACTGGCCGCCTTTGCCCGTACTGCAAAGCGATATTCACAACTTTTGACGCCCCAGCTTTTATCTCAATGGCTCCTGTGCGGATGTGACATGCGCCGTTGGCTCTCTTGGAAGCACACTAAGCATTGGGAATCCCCTCATATCATTGAATACTTTGAAAAGTCCCCGTCTGATATTTATCGGGCTTACTGTTGTCAAACATTGCTGCACCGGTTTGCATTTGGAGGTAATTTGTGCCTTGTGAAGCTCATGTTATCTAGGGGCGCAAACATCAACGCGCAAGATAAGCTTGAAAATACACCTTTACATTGGGCTGCCAGTGAAGGACATCTGCGTGTTGTTCAGGCTTTGATTGAAGCCGGAGCAGATGCCAATGTCGAGGACGAGAACGGCCATACACCACTGGGGATAGCCATAGTATGCAAGAAGTCGGCCGTGGTCCGATACCTGCTTGACTCAGTCCAATACGCTCAGGAAGCCATTCTGAGAGTGTTCAGTGACGAGATGATGGAGGATTGCACAAACTCAGATATCCCCATAATGATCTTTCATGCTCTCAAGGATTCTGGCTATGATTTCAGCTCGACTGACGCTAGCTCTGAGGGATATCTCCTTTCAGCCACCTCAAGAGGAAATATCACACTTGTGCAGCTTTTGCTCGCTGACGGCTCTGACCCTTTTCAAACGGATGGGTGGGGGGAAACAGCCTTGTTCATTGCCTGCTCGCAGGGTAACATAGAATTGGCAAGGCTGCTAATAAGCGCAATGCAAGCTGCTGGCGGTGACCCCTTCATAGCAAATGGAAATGGTATGACGCCACTGCTTCAAGTCATGGAACATTATCATGTGAATTTGGATCTCCTCAAACTACTTCTAGACTCCGGAGCATGTGTAAATGCTTCGGATGAGTTTAGGATCCGAAAAAGCGCACTGAAGGGCCCTAAGAGTGTGTTTGAGCTACTTGTTGACCGTGCACCTTCCTTATGGACATCGGACGCATTAGAATCATGCCTCCTGACGTATTTGTTCGATTTGGCAGTATTATTTGACACAAATACTGATTATTTCAAAGCTACAGCCAGGATTCTAAAGCTGGCCATATCTGGAAGGGTGAAAGTCGATGTATCCAGCTCAAAGAACTCCCTAGTCAACCATACACCACTCTACTTCGCATGTCAGATTACGCACGATCAGATTCGGGCTTCTGGCATAATTCGCTCTTTGCTCGAGGCAGGGGCAGATGTTGACATACCAAACGGCATTGGCCGGACACCTATTCACAATATCCTGAAAACATCCAGGGACTACCAGGACCGTGAGCTTATATTGACGATGATCAAATCCAGCAAAAACATCAACCAGCTCAACGAGGACGGCGAGAGCTATCTACATCTTGCAGTCAAGTATAACCACCCACGTGCTGTACAGCTGCTGTTGAGCAAAATGAGCAAGGATGCCATGTTTGCTGGTAATAATGCCGGCGATAATGCTCTGCACTATGCTATGGAAACTGGAAATACCTCTATGATTCAGCAGCTTCTCAAAGCAGGGGAGTCACGAAGCGGTTGAGGCTTTTCTGGACAAAGGCGCTTCTGGGCATGCAGGTTGCAAGGTTTGTAACCACCGCATAGAAGCAGTCAGGAAGTTGAATGAGGAAAGTGACTATTGAAGTGAAATGATTGTTTCTTTCTACGTCTTTTCCTTTTCCTTGCTTCATTGTGTGGGGTACAAGACGGAACAAAAGAAGGCATTGTTGTGGCGCCATTGTCAAGAAATAGACTCTGATCGTCAGTTTCTTTTATTTTTAATTATGCTATTTGCCTGAGCAACAGTGTGATATATTTGGATTTGGCTATCTGAGGCTCTTTTCACTTCTTATCTGGTATAGTTGTCAGGAGACTAAATATAATTTTGCATAGTAGTCTGATCTACATCATAGATAGGGCTGTGCACAATTGACAACCCTAATTATATATATTACTAGTATTCATGCTGATTGAAAAAATAACATAAGAAATGAAATTACTCCATTAAGTTCTATATCCTGCTTGCTTTGTGAACAGAAACAAACAAGGAAGCAGCATAATGCAAAGCCATAATGACTGCTGCTGTCATATTCGGTGGTATAAGTAGGGCAAGAACCATATATATAATGGTACCACTACTGGGACTTCCTATGTAAGCACTCTTTTCCATTATGAACAAGTTATATATACTAGTATTAGCAATATGTGAACTAAGCAGAGTAATAAATAATCTACATATCTACTACAAATCCTGGATATATACAGACCAGCAACTTAGTACATTATGAGCAGTCTATGCTACTATATGGATAATCACTATAACGCTATATCACGACATGCCACTAAGAGAACATCCTCAGCAGGGAGAAAGACAGTCTTTTTTTTGCTTCCCAGTACTATATCTTAAAAAGATACTCTATACGCCCTCTAATATCATTACTGCCAAATACATATCTACCAGGCACTCACTTTGTTCCTTATTTCCATCATCCAATGTTGCGCACCATCCAGTAGACCAAAAATGATCTATCGCGTCTGTCTAGACAGCAAACAAAGATATATGTTCCAACATTTAACAACCAAATATCAACATTCCCAACACCAATCCCAATCACCGACTCCTATCATTGCCTACTCCCAGACCATAATCATCTACACTTTTACCCCCCTTAGAATACACTCCATACCCAATACCCAAATCCCATATCCGACCCACCAAAAGACCCGCCATTCCTTCCCTTCCCTGCTACGTGCGGATCTTCACAGGTTATGAATGGGGGGATAATGAATCCCTGCATTCTCAATGGACGACTGGGGCCGGCGGTTTAGCCGCCAATAGACAAGCGACGCATCCTTTTCCTCTTACTTGATAATAGGCTCAAGCACCGATGCTATCGATGATATCCACCTGGTACTTACAGCTTGAAAGTATTCAATATATGATATAGAGTATCTATCCCTTACTGGGGTTGACCAAGGTATGGAGTTATTGATGGAAGTATATTGGACTCGTGATTTTAATGTTGCTTTATCCTGGCTCATTACTGGTAGCTATTATGTTGTCCTGTGAAGAATTTGAATATTATTGGTAGCTTCGTGTGTAAGGGTACACAATTAATAGATTATGGAGTTCCTCTCCCCAATTGAGGAAGTACCGTAGCATAGAGTGCTCTACAGCGTAGTAACCAGATAGATAGGGATGAACATCGACCTACCTACCTACTAGTAGACTAACAACCGTTAGGAATCCTGCAAGTCAGCGTCAGCAGGAACAGTGGCATGCCCTTAACCCACACCTCACAACCAAGAGCCAATTCACCGCGGGTTAGCCCACATACTGACACCTCCCCTATACCCACAAATCCTAGCCTAACGGCTACTAGCACCCTTCATACAGCACTAGTCCATACCTCAACAGTAGTAATAGAGGTAGTAGCGAATTGATCATCCAGGGCTGGTATTCTTCAGCAAATGGTCAAGTGGAGACACTTCAGTAGAAAAGCAGGATGGGATGCTAAGGCATGCATGTGCGGGCTACGCAACGGTTTATAACAGGCCCCTACTCGACGAGTCAATATGAGCTTGCAGGGTAGTCTAGTAGACTGCCGTGGAATGATCTGCCCTAACGGCGTGACTTTCTACCTAGAGAGGTATAGACTGCATTCCTGCGGCTCGGTAGTTACTACTATCGGCATAGTTGACCACTTGTCTGGATGATTTGATGGTTCTGAGATAGTAATAGGAAGTATCGATCTTGTTGGAGATTGTGAAATAACTAACTAGGCAAGTAACTTTCTATTTTAGGTAGTGTCTATCTTGTGGATGAACGATGGTAGTAAGTAGGTAAGTAAGTATCATGATTGTAACGTTCGAGATGATACCAAGAATGCACGTATTGTATAGTTACATACTAAACTTATTCGATTGCTAAAATAATACCAGAGAAATAACTCTAACGACGCCATCCCGAAGAAGAATTCCTCAAGTTTGCAAATTGCCGACAGAGAAACATTTCTACGACTGTCGCTAACTTAGAGCTTAATTAGAAACATGGCGAAAGACTTCAGTCCATACTAACTCTACTAAACCATAGCAGGGTATGTGTGCCATAGCGTGAACTAGAGCTACTACTACTAAAAGAGCAGCACTAATTCCATCCTCCTAGAAACACTAAACTCAATCCCAGAGGGAGAAGCTTATCCTGTATACATGCGGGGTGGATGGCCCATATAGCTAGCTAGCTACATACCGATGCAAGGGGTGGCGCATGGGTGCATGTATGTTTAATTGGTACCTGGCGTACCTGCAGGAGATATCCTTCGAAGAAACGGGGAATTTCGTGTAGATAATTGGGACTAAGCTACGAAAGGAAAAAACCTTATGATAAAGGTTGGAATCGTAATGGTAGGGCTGGGAAGGGGATAGATAGGTATTAGTTTGGATGTGGGTGGCTGGGGCCCAGGAATGGCGATCATGGATGTGCCGAAACGGTAAAGGTGAGGATATGCTAGATAGACTTGCAGGGGGTTATCGTGCGGATTATTGACCCGATATCTTGTCTTTATTCTCCTAGATAACCTTTCACCCCTGTGTTGTGTGGTGCTGGGGGTGGTGGATAGTATTGGAGGATACATTGGTAGGAGTGGGTTATTGATTGATAACTACTCATCCAACAGGGTTGTATGGGGTAAGAGATGTCGCCGTTGGCAAGGGTGCTATGCTCCTAAAGAAGGGGCAAGTATATGCATATGCGATCGATATTATCTTGATATTACTGGGGTCGTGATGTTCACCCCGGATACCTAGATAGCCCTGCTTGCATGGTGAAACTCAGGAGATCTTAAGATAAGGCCATCTAATTAGGGAGTAGACGATATCTCGCGCCTACATGCAGTCCTCGGTAACATCCCCAGATATGCACTTGGGGATAAGCGCCAGTGAGTGTGGCTAATGCGCTCCTGTTTGAAATAAGCTTTTCTAAGCTCATGTCTATGGTAGAAAATCAAATAGTCATTTGCACGTCGAATATGCCCTTCAAACTACACTGCGAGATCGGATCTAGGAGACAACAACAGGCCAGTTGTTTACAGTGTGAACGAGAACACATGGCCAGAGGATGAAGATCTGGGTCACTAGGCGATAGTTCTGCAGATCGCTTCCCCGATCGTATCTAGACTCACTAGTTACGGGTCCCAGCACCATTGCAGGTGGGATGGACAAAATAAGGCATCAAAGAGGTGAAAGGGGAATCTCGCCTTGGGCACAAATTTGGGACTGGCCCGAATCAGTTGTTATTGACCAGAATAGGGAGCCATGGAGAAGGGTTGGGAAGGGGGGAGCAAGGAAGGGCGACAAGAAAGGGACAAGCAAGGCGAGCAGCGATGGACAAAGAAGGGAGAAATCTCGGTGATGTCATGGAGTTATTACTGGGTACGGGGGGATGGTCGCATCGGGGTCAAGTCACGGGACCACGCTCTGCCGGTCGCGTCGTCGGGGGAGGGGAGACTCCGGGGTTCCACGGTTCACCACCATTGTTATTGTTTACAGCAGAAGCCAGAACGGAAAGTGATAAACAATGCCAGCCGGGCCATCTGCAGGACTCATCACGAACCAGGATTATTTCCCCTCCGACCGTGTGGGTGTGGGTGTGGGTGGTGTGCCAGCGCATACATACGCACATACAGTTACAGTGGTGACATGCAGATACCGGAGGGTGCGGGAAGGGAAGGATGAGAGAAGGTTTCATGCAAGACTTTCCCCTCCATGTGACATCACGACTGGTTCCCTCCAATCGACGCGATTCCAGACAGGCAGATCTGGGAAAGCAAGTTGGGAGCACTCCAGTCCGAACGGAGGGGACAAGAGGGGAGGGGAAGGGAGAAGATAGCATCATCCCCCCCATTCACCGTATCTAAATAAAGTTGCAGACAGCCTTTCTGGAGCACGAGCACTTAAAGCTGCAGGATTAGCCCAATCAGGGGCCCCATCACCACTTGAAACCCCGCAGCAGCGCTTCCTGCTGGCCTGCCAAGGCTGTTGCTGATACTGGACCATTTTGACGCGGACCACTAGCAGGGATTGTTGACACTTACAAGAGCGCCCGACGCTGATGCCCGGTCCGCGGACGTGTCTGGGCTGCCTGGCCGACAGATAACAGTGCATGTCATGGCCGCTCAGGTGACGGAGAAGCCCGTCAACATCCCCGACTACTCCACCGAAAGATCCGAGGTAAGTAGGAAAAGGAACACTAACCGGCTTAGCACGGCTCGCTTTTCACGCGGGCGACGGTCCAGATCAGTTCCCGGCGCCTATAATCAAACAAATAGACACTCAGTAGATCCTTCAGCCGCACAAGAACTCCCCCCCTCTCCCGCGTCAGTCAATCATCTAATTTAATACCCTTAAAAGTGATGTCGCCTTGAACGTACTCTGTACAATGCCTACCCACCCGCCCTCAATAAAGGCGGAACCGACTGTCACTCTAGCGATATTGCTTCTGATAGTTCTTGGGGCTAGCGCCCTTCCTGGCGCGTAGACACCGCGGGTGAGCCGCATTTTCCGGGTGTCTTCGCTCAAGGGGGATGATTGTTGTTGCTCAATCGGGACCCTCATGAGCTCTAGCGCTAATACGTTCGGAGCGAGGGAAGGGATCATCATTGGGACCGTCCGGTGTCTCACAGGTGAGGGGCCTCTGGCCTTGGGACGACGAAAAAATGATCATTGTGAGTGGTCAATGATGCGATCGCTGCTCGCAGGAGCTTACCGATCTCGCTATCCGTGGCGGTGTAATAGTAACAGCGAGGAGGGCCCCTCTCTTATTCGATCGAGCTATTTTCATGGCCCACGAGGCAGCACTAGCTTCCAGGCAATATCATAGAGATCGAGGAGATTGAACCCGAATGGGTGGAGAGCTATACTCCCCATAACTGGCTCGGGGATTGCATGACTCCAGAATGCCGTTTGGCCCCTCGTTGTGGCGGAGAAGGAGTGTATCAGCCAAAGTGACGTCGTCAGCCTCTCGGGTGCGACAGGAAATCCTGCTTCAGCTGGAGTGTACATTGATCCCCACACCCGGCTAGGTCTAGAGCCGTAAGCTAGACGGCCTCAGCCTCACGGCGTAGACATGGACGGAGCTCTCTGCTGGCGCAATTGCTCCTTGTTGGAAAGCCACTGTCGAGAGCAGCGATAAGATCCCACACGGCTTGCTATCAAAGCACCTTCCTGAGATGGTTGTTGAAAGAAAGGGAGGATATCCCTAGCCAAAGTCTGCAGGAATGTGGGCAGAGTGAGGGCCAACGTAAGGGAATGATGTGAGTGTGAAGAACGGACCACCATGAAGACTGTGCGCAAGAGGGGTTGCGAAAAATCCAGTCTGGAGGGACCATCATCAGATCTTTTGCTGCCCTGAAGCCCGATTACTGTGTGTGTGTGCCGTGTGTCCGAAGCAGTCAAGCTGTCCGTCAGAAGAAATACCTGAATGCTGTCCCTCTTATGAAGATCTGCCAAAGAAGAGAGATGCTGGAGTTGCACAAAATCTAGGTGGATCTGATAGTGGCATACTTCCTCCACGCTGGTCACGGCGGAGGCCGAAGAAGAATCTCCTGCAGAAATTGGCTTCACTACTGGATGGAAGTTAAGCGCGTGGCATGCTCGGATCTGAGGCCTCCAGTTGTCCAGTTGCTCTGGCATTACTCAATCCGGCAAAGCCGGCCATTTTTCCGATCGGAGACGAGGTGTGCCTGTGAAGGCAACGATGATCTAATCAGCCGGTATGTGGGTTTGGTCTGTGATACATGACTTTGGAGCAAGAACATGGCGGGAATGGTTCGATTTTGGCAAGTCTTGATGTAGAGCAATACCTCATGGCATGGTCAGTCGACTGGCGGTAGATACCTGGTAGTTACCAGGTGATTGAAGCTTTACGTATGTATGACAGCTCTACTTGCTAGTCAAGGTTCGCAATTATACCATGGAAACCCCGTTCCTGAGAAATGATACCGGACAAGCTCTTTTTTCCGACTCAGTGGAGCCCAAGTGGAGATTCTATTAGACTCGATCTCTCTTTTTGGTTCTCGGGAATGATGTATAGAGTCGAACGCAGAAAAAATCGAACGGCACACACGGGAAGATAATATTATTGATCGGATTTCAGATTTTTATCCCGTCCACTTGCTGCTTTGACTGGTCGATCGGCCGAAAAAAAATATCCCAGGACAGTGTACTCCATACTAGGTAGATAGTTTGAAAAGATGCCTGGGGTGATCGCATACCTAATTACCTACCCATACCTACCACGACCTAGGACTTTCCCAAGTGGGTGTTAGTTCGTCCATCTATTTCCGTCGGAGGCATTGAGCTGGACCTAGATTAATTGATTGACCTAGCCAGGGAGTGAGTCTAAGCCAGGATTGTAATTGGAGGAATGAACCATCGAATACTAAGTAATAGTCAGCCTTGGTCGGAAAGAGAACTGACACGGCGCTTAGCAGAGAAATTGAGTCTTGTCTTGTGTGTCCCGAAGTAATACCTCGCTGTACTATGCAGAGCGAAAAATGAAAGGAAAAAGGGAAAAAAAAAGCAAATTTGGAACCAACGGTTTCTACAGCAATATTCGGCGAGTTTGTTACATAGGTGAAACCTGTCAAAAAACGAAATACAAAGATGGGGACCCATAATTTGCCTCCGCAGTTGAGTTAGTAATGGAAAGAAAAGAAGGCCGAAAGAACAGTACTCCGGTACCCTTTTTTCTCCTCTCTCTCACTTGTTCCGTGAGACAGGCACGATCCATCATGGACCATTTTTTTTCAGCCAGCCCGCCGAGATTGGTAGAGGACTACTAAGACGATAGTGAGCGGGTGAGGCAGTAAGGACGCTGATAGGCGGGGGGTTGCTGAGCAGCGGCTAGCGCTGGTGCTGGCGGCAAGGGAGTCCCGGCAACGAGGGGCGCCCAGAGCCCTAGCCTGGCTGGACTAGTCCCAGTCCGGGTACCTACTTACTCTGGAGATGACTATGACTGACTCTGGAAGGTCACTCGACAACTTCTATACTCCGTACTTACATACATACACATACCCATACCCATACCCATACTACATATACATACAACGTACATAACTGTATGGTATTGGTACCTTTCCTTCCCGAACAAGGAAATAAATCTTCCTTGGTATGCGTATCTAATGTATGTATGTTGGAAGGTACCTACAGCTGTCACTGCAAAATTCAATATGCGCCCGGAGAGGAAGTAAAAAAAGAAGGGAAATAAAATTGAAGAGAAAAGAGGAAAATCTACTCACAAATTAATCAAAGTAAGTAGAGCCCGATTTGGATACTAGGGCGGCTATTCGGGAATACCAGATAGTTTAGTTAGGAGCAAGTAACATAGTCGTCAGTCGCTTCTATTCTCCGGCCAAACCAGAACAGAAAGAAATCAATCAATCCCTTCTCCAAGAATGAAAGAGTCAATCTACTCCTCAATAGGAAACTAGCCAGGCCTTGCAGAGACAGCCAGCAACCAAGCAACCAAGCAAAAGAGCAGGCGGTGTCTTGCCTGGGTTTTTTTCTGAAGGGTCAAATCCTTTAATGCGGTCATGGACCAAACCGGTTCGACATTGGTTTTCTGACACAGCCTAACCCATCGTCGCTTAAGCTCTGCGCAGAGCATCTGGAGATCCCTCCCCACTTTTGCGTTGCCATTGCAACAAGGGCATCCCTTCAGCTTCACTTTCTCCAGACCTTTTTTCTTTCTCTTCCTTCTTTCTCTCTCCCTAGCTAGCTCTTAAACGTCTGCTCTCCACCTTCTTCTTAAGAGCTTCTTTCCCCTGCTCCTCATTCCCATGCTCCGTCGTGTGAGCTTCGCCCAGGCCCAGTCCCGCATTCAGTCCTCTTCTCTTCGGTAACTTTCCCCCGACTGCATTAGCGTACCATATCTATGGCCTATCTGCAACCATCCCGTCCCCCTAATTCTTCGCTGTGAGGATGTGCCTTTGCTGATCTGGTCTGCGGTTCTCTGTCTAGCCATCTTGCCCGTCCGACCTGCTTCCTGTTCCAACCCATACCCTTCCCGAAATCACCTTGATCCCCCCCACTGGACAACCCAGCTATGTCACTCTAAACCGACGGCTTCGTCACCGAGTAGTGCGGTTTCGGACTGGTCAGTTAAAGACTTCTCGAAGCCGTCATTACATTCTGCGAAGGTTCGGGATCTGAGACAAGTCGGGATATACTAGGAGGAGTGCAAGGAGCTGGATAGACTACGACGACTACGACTACGATTGTACCACATCTGCCGTGTAGTGTATGCCGGATAGATATAGTCCGCACCGTATCTGTCGTCTGTTTCTTGGCTACTAGCTATTGCTTCTCTTGGTCGTCGACTTTTTTTTTGGGCGTGGAATACCAGAGAGAGCGGAAGACTACCATTCTCCGGCAAGAATGGAACATTCGTCCCCGTTGGCTGCCATGCAGCCCCCCTCGGTGATGTTTGGGCATTGCTTTCGTGCAGATGCACCGACATCCTATACTTCTTTCAGTCCAATGCGTGGACTGGGCCACAAGAATTTCAACTTCAAAGACCTCTCCATGAAGAAAGGACATGGGGACTATTTTAATGTGAAACCCGTTCGAGGCTCGTCTCCCACGGCTAGCCTCGCCGCGGATCTGTCTCAAAATTTTCACATTGATCAAAGGTTCGTTCTGCCGTTGGCTTCGGGTCTTTGTTCCGAATGTCTGGTCCAACCATGAAGGGATTCACTAACACCCCAAAATTAGTCCGCAGCTGACTACGCCCCGGCGGTCTTTGTTCACTGCGAGTCTGCTCGGGAATAGTAACCGGTGTGGTAAGAGGACTCCCAATTGAGGTCATAAGAGGGTGCATTGCTTAACTGTAGAGCAGAGTCTATGACCACACCTCCACTGCCCGCGTCCTCGCCTGCTCCCGCCATGGATATCATGGAAATGTCCCCGTTACCGCATAAGCCGGCATTCGGCCTTCTGAACGAAGCCGAACTTGACTCGCCTAGCCTGGATTCTACAATGGATACTCCGATGATGTCTGCCGCCGCTAGCCCCCTCGAGGAATCGCCCCTCGTCCAGCAAAAGGATAGCCTGCAAGAGTAAGAGAGAAGTGCTTGGACGTGACTTTGGGCGATGTGGATCTAATTGCATTTGTGTCTGTAGGAGAAGACGTCCGACCTTCTTGCGGCCAAGTTTAGCCAGGAGCAAAGCCCAGACATTTCAGCTGGGCATGACCAAACCCGCCCCGGAGAGCCAGGCACCACCATTCAAGTTCCAGAGCAAAGGAGGGAAAACATCGCTGAGCGCATCTGCATCACTGGAGGACATGTTCAACGAGTCACCACAGCGGGAACGGCCATCATTGAGTCGTCACTCCAGCGGAATCCTGATCAATCCCCGACTGAGACCCCAACTTGGAAGCAGTGGGAGCCATGTCCGCGGCAATGGCTCGCCCACGGCGGCTTCGATCCGCAAAAATTCCCACCCGATGACGCGCCCTCGGAAACAGTGCCGACGCTCGCTGAGCATGTTTGAGCACCCGGAGGATATTGTTGTCGATAAAGAGGCTAACTATACTACAAATGCACCACTTCCGTCGATCCCCGACATTGAAGGAACCCCGAGCCTGCAGCTCCCTCACACCTTTTCTGAGGACCAGGCCGATACACTGCCTCGCATCGATAAGAGTATCCTCGTGGAGCTCCTGGATGGCAAGTACAATGATCGTTTCGATAATATCATGGTCGTCGACTGCCGCTTCGAGTATGAGTACGAGGGCGGGCACATCACCGGAGCCGTGAACTACAACGACAAGGACTTTCTGGCCGCCGAACTCTTCGCAAGCCCAAAGCCGCGGACGGCCTTGGTCTTTCATTGTGAATATTCCGCCCACCGGGCCCCGATTATGGCGAAGTATATCCGCCATAAGGATCGTGCCTATAACGTGGATCAATACCCGCACCTTAGCTATCCCGACATGTACATTCTGGAGGGTGGCTACAGTGCATTCTTTGCGGAGCACCGGACATTATGCTATCCACAGAATTATGTCGAGATGAGCGCCAAGGAACACGAGTTTGCCTGCGAGCGTGGCCTCGGGAAGGTCAAGCAGAGGTCCAAGCTCAACCGAGCGCAGACGTTTGCCTTTGGTCAGCACTCTCCTCAGATGGAAGACAGTCCCACGGGGAGGTGTCGCAACAACGCTGGTGACCGCAACCGGTTTCTCGGCTCCCCATTCGCCGAGAGTCCGGCATCTGGACGCTTCTCCGGCCGACGTATGCTTTCCTACTGAGTTGGAATATTTCCTTAACTGTACCTGGCACACGCCGTGATCTATGGGTATCATGATGTGTTGCCAATTGCTACCACCTTACGGGCCTTCCTTTGGATTTCTTTTACCTGTCGTTCGACATTCAGATACAGTTTGACCACTGCAGGTCAATTGCTCCTAGTGAGTTTCTGGGTATTGGCGTCAGCGTTCTGCATTGGGATAGCAGTGGCTTGGACTGTCTCACTGCATCCCACACCATTCGTTTGCTTGGGTTTCTTTCCTATCAATTGGGGTTGGTGCGGTTATTAGACGGCCATTCTGATGACGATTGGTTTGACTTACTGGAGTACCTTTGGCTTTACGATTTGGAGACGACTTATCGCTTCTCGCGACCTGCACCTCACCTTTCGACCGAGTTCGACCCCATTTCCTTGCTATCCGACCACTCCCTTCGGATTTTATTTCCTATGTTTTTGACGACCACTTTGATCTTCGACACATTCGTGATCGACTTATGATACCTCGCCAGCTGGCATTTCTTTCTGCGACTAATTTCCTATTACCCTCTACCGTCGTTTAATCATCCACCCCGAGCTCCTGTATAAAGCTACGGGAGTGCCACGCTACACGCCGTCCACACAGTACATATCGGCATACGGCTCACTCAGGAGATAATCTTGACATGCACGCTCACTATTGGAAGACAAGATCTGGCATGAAGAAGCCAGAGCTTGCCTGTGAAGAGAATGTTCGTGCAGGTGTACATACATAAACCACGAACCTGGTCGGCTACTGGCCCGACTATAATGTATGGGGGGATTGGAGGTTAAAGGACTAATTTCCTATGTTGGACAATGATGAGATGAACTTTCAAATACGTGACTACACTCGTAAACATCTCGTAGAGGAATTACAAGTAATAGTAGGCGAAGCAGCGGCAGCGATGTACCTCCGCAGCGGACCCAATGAAATCGCGGCCTGTCGCACCTCCGCTCCGCTACCCACAACCCACCCATTCCGTCCATCGCGCTGCTCCTCCGCCGCAAATCTTCCCCTCACCATCCATCACCACCACCAAAACCAAAACCACAAAACATTGATTGCTCGACAATGGACATCGACGACATCCTCGCCTCCGTCGACCGCACGGCAGACACATCCACCCCGGAATCCACCGCCCTCGACCACCAATTACTCACGCGCTTCTGGGTCGCCGAGCGCGCCGTCCCCGAGCTCCTCCCATGGCCGACATCCTTAATGGAGCGCATGATGGAGCGCGTCAGACGACAGGTATCCCCCAAAACCATCTATTCCTACCCCATATTCCTCCTTCCCCCATACACCCACCTACTAACACATACATATAAAACAAAAGATCGAATCCATCGAAGACCTCGCCGCCTCCTCCACCGACCCAATAACACACCACCAAACCTCCTCCACCTCCGCAGCAACAACAAATCTCACCCTTTCCATCCTCCAATCCGACCTCTCTCGAACCCAATACCTAATCCGCTCTCTCCTCCGCCAACGCCTATCAAAGCTCACAGCGCATAGCATGCACTACCTACTTCTCATCTCCCGTCCCACCACACAACAACCTCAATCGCAACAATCGCAGACGGATTCCTCCAGACCCGAGGACTCTATCCCCGAGCCACCAACACTCACAGACGACGGTACAGAAGATGATATATCTCCGCTGTCGAAAGAGGAGGTGACGTTTCTGCATGCGCATCAGACGCTACTGGCGGGTCATTATGGAGCGTCGTTTTTGAATTCTTTCCCCCCGCAATTGAGGAGGTTGGATGATAATGCGGGCGGGACTAGTATGGTTCAGGGACCCGATGGGAAGGAGGTTGTTTTTGTGAGGTGTCTTGTTGAGGAGGTTAGGGTTGTGGTGCCCCCTGGTGATGGGGTTGAGGTGGAGGTCGAGGGGACGGTGTTGAGGATGGGGGAGGTTTGGGCGGTTAGGTGGGAGGGGGTTAGGGGGGCTTGGGGGAGGGGGGAGGTTGAGGTTTTGTAGGGTTGATTTTTGAGGATGAGGTGGGAGATGAGTTGGGGGAGGGGGATTGCATTTGAGGCGTTGGGTGAGGGATTATACCTTTGCATATTGCATATACCTGTTTTCTTTTTACTATCTGATGGGAGTGGATGCTACGCTTGTTTTACGTTCATGAGTAATTTGAGCGCTGCACAGTCTCAGTATCAATCATCATCATTGCATCACTCATCACTGCATATCACTTCGCTCGTCCTGATGCACCACCGCCACCAGTGTAAAACATCCGCATCAAGTTAATAAAACAACCAACATCTATGTAGGCTGAAACGCTTTCATTCCGTGTCCATACCGTGCGCCATCGCCGCTCAAGTCCAAGACCATTCATGCTCAGTACGCTCAACGCCACCGATGAAACAAAAGGAAACAACCGGGAAAATGAATCAAAAACCATCAGAGGGTAATATTGGCTACGCCACGTATCCGTATGTAGGTGGATCCTCTTCCACTCGCTCGAGATATTCGCGATCAATCAAGCTCTCAATGCGCTTCTTGATCATGTTGACGTCTGGGACGAATCGTGCGGATAGCTGAGAGAGCACCTCGGTCATGAGTTGCGAGTGGATAAGTGTTTTTCGTTGTCTGTGGCATTGTTAGTGGTGGGTCGCTAGCATGTATAAGGAGAGTGCATACTTCATGATTCTGACAATGGCAGCCTCGATGCTGGCTCCGCGCTCCTCACTCATCTTCTTTTCTGTCTCCTTGCGCTGGTCTTGGTTCTCGACCTTGTTGGCACTGCCGCTAACAACGCCGATCCGGACCTTCATGAATGGACTTTGGAACTCGTTGTTGAAGACGAACTTGTCTGTGGGCTTGACGTCCTTGCTCATGGGATCTTTCTTCAGGACACGGGTCTTGGGTGCGACGGCCAAGGACTGCAAGTTTCGGATGAGATCGTGGTCAGGGATACGAGTGCGTTCTTGGATCTCGGTGTAGGTGAGAGACTCGCCCGCGGGCACATCGTTGAAAAGCAGTAGAATGATCATAGCGTAGGTAGAGACATTGAGTTCGTGTCGTTGGACCTTGCCGTTGGCTCGTTGGAAGGTGGCGCGGATATCAGCCGTGCCCATGCTGGCTTGCCACGACAGCTTGCGGCCATTGTGCTTGCCAAGGTAGAACTGTTCGAAGCTTTGCTTGACGCTGTCGACCTCCTTGGGAAGGATAGGGGGTAGTTGAACCTCGTCATTTCTCGCGTTGGACATGATCTCCATGGGCCACATCGTACTGGTGAGCACGTTGATGTCCAATTCAATCCGCTTTTGGTCGGGGTCGCTGGACTGTCGCATGTGTTCCTTGTAGCTCGATGTCAGATCCTCAGAGATGGTCATATCCTTGAACATAGATTCCAGGCGCTGTGTGAACTGGTTGCCCACTTCCATCTTCATTTTAGAGATCATCTGCCGCTCGGCATCCATGCTCACGGAGCGCTTCATCAGCAGACGACGAGAGAGATGTTTCTTGTAGTATGCCTCGAACATGTCCTTGTCTTTGATGTAACGCAGCAGTGTGATTCCGTTGTCCAGCAAAGTGTCAATCTCGGCATCTGTCTTGCCCTTGATGCCCTTCTTCAGATTCTCGTCGAAAAATAGGGAGAGGTATTCGGAACTGCGCGAGTCTCCACCTTGAGACAAGTTGATGAACTCCGAGAAGCTGCTGGTTATCGCGCTCTGCAGGACTTGATCAGACTCGAATGCATTCTCCCAGATGTTGTCAAACTTCTGCTTCAGACGCAGGATATCGTCCACCCATTTGATGGCAGCCACCGTCTGCTGGTTCACCGGTTTCTCTGCTGGCTTCTTTTCACCAGGTTCCGGCTTCTTGCCTGCAGCAATGGCCGAGACTTGCGATGCAATTGCAGAGGCATTGATTTCCTTGCCCATCTCGACGATCCGCCTCTGCACGGCAGTAGTCAAAGGGGTCTTCTTGCTGTCGACTCTCGCGCTGAGCACGTAAACGCTTCGTAGATTATCGATGCGATCATTGTCCAGCATGGTTCTAACACCGGTACCCTCGAGATTGACCACCTCGGCGATGTTCTTCTTTATCAGTTCATTATCGAGGACATCCTTGATCTTCGTCTTTGAGAGTGATGACAGCGTGTCAATACACCTTTCAGTCTCTTCCGAGAGACGCTCTGTGGCGACCTTGCAAAAGGTTGCAGCATCACCGGTCTCCAGCAATCGCCGACCTTCAGCCTGGTAGAATTTCTTGCTGGCTTCCAAGAATGCCGGCTCAAAGACAGTGAGGTACAATTTCGATGATTCCTCCTCTGTAATAGTCTCGTAAAGCCCCTCCAGCATATACACGCAGTGTCTGATCAAAGGCCTGTCGATAATATGCCCAGACCGTTCCAGTTGTAGCATGAATAGCACGGTCGACTCCAATACATCGTATACGCTCGTCGTGGTGTCCGGTCGAATAGGGGCGCGAAGCACATGGTCTCGAAACAACGCCATTGATGCCACATAAATGGATGGCTTTCGGTGGTCCGTCGACATAACACGGTCCTGATGGATGAGATTATCCTTCAGTTAACGCGGATTCAGTGCAGATGAAGGAGGATGGTACACTTACCATATACATAAGCACATCCGTGATCATCTTCATACATAGCTGATGATCTTCCCAAGCTTCCTTGAGCACTGCCAGAAATCGCTCTCCTGCATCTCGCCTCTCATTGGCTTGGTCTTGCGCATCTACCAGTTGCTTCGCCAGCAGCAGACTCGGAGAGATGGCCCCGGTCACCAACTTGTGGACTTCCGTATCTAACCAATCACGTTCCAGTTGTTGAATTCGTTCGTACAATTCCGTTCCACGCATACCCAGGACGATATTGTAGGACTTGCGATATATTTCCTCGAACGACAAAGCCGAGGCATCTTTAGTGTGGATCTTCTTCAGCGAGCTAGATAGCTCCGCCCAAATCGTTTCGAAATCGTTGGTTTTGCTCCCTGCCATGCCCTGATGTTGCTCTCGTTAGCATACCGATTAACTGAACCCAATTTCGTTATCGAACGGAACTTTGCCCCGGGAAGAACACCACAAGCTTTAGGTCATAGAAGAATGTAAATGAAGAAGAAAACCTACCCTGCGCGGAGCACGGATCTTATTCCTCGCGCGTAAAGACATATTTGCAAACTCCAGCAAATATCATCCAGTTCGACAAATGATTGACAGCTCTGATGCGCGGGGCAATGCTCGCCGCACAGAACAGTGACGTATTCGGACGCTCAAACAATGCAGCCAGACGGACAGCTAAGTTATCGGTTTATAATCCTAAGGTCCACCAGTATAACAATAGAGAGCTTCGTCACACTCATCGAATCATCGCCTCCTTCACGGTCGAGGGGATGGCAAGAGGAAGAGGGAGAAGTAACACAAGACGGCGAGACCGCGGAGGCCCGAGCTGGAACAACAAATTTCCGGCGCAAACTCCGGCTTTCCTCCGTCATTTGAACGGAGTACTTCTCTCGGATTCTTCAGTTCATCAACTCTCATCTTCATCTCCTTAAATATACCTACTAATTCCTCATCTATTCACTAATCACATACAACTATACACTATGCGTCCATTCACCTCCCTCCCCCGCGGTCTCCGCTTTCTTCAGTCCTCTCTCCCCCGCGCTACCATCACCCGCGCCTCTCAAACATCCTCCCGGCCATTCACTCAGCTCCTCCATCGCCAAACACCAACACTCTACTCTCCACGGGTCACTACACACCTCACAACCACCAGACTCAACTCCTCCTCAGCAAAGCCTCTTACGGACCGCTCCGCCGACGCATCCACCGAAGCCCAGAATGAAGAACAGAACCGTCTCCGCCGCGAACAGGAGCCCGCATACCAAATCACATTCACCTGCAAGCCATGCGGAGAACGTTCCTCACACCGCATGTCCAAGCACGGATACCACCGCGGTACCGTGCTGATCAAGTGCCCGTCCTGCGATGCTCGTCATGTCATTGCCGATCATTTGAATATCTTCTTCGATAAGAAGAGTACCCTTGAGGATATCTTGGCCCGGCAGGGCGATAAGTTGACCCGTGGGTATGTGGATGGCGATATGGAGTTCTGGGATGATGGGAGTGTTAATAAGAAGGAGGGTGAGGGTGAAGGGGAGGAGGGCAAGTCGGCTTAGACTACTACGTTGTTGACTCGGCTATGCATTGTATTTGGGGTTTGGAAAAGTTGATGAGCGTTTGGCGTCCTGGTTGGGGTTGATATCAATCATCATTGGAATTGGAGTATGTACACTCTGCTCTTGGGATATACATTGTACTTTTATAGATGGAGGTGGAAGATGAAGTGAAGACAAAAGAACATATGTACGATAGATAGACAGCTCATCTCAAACATGATCGATCTCCTATTCTCCCAACGCCGTGCGATTTTGGTATAAACAAACCATGTATATGCAACATGCAACGCTATTCCACTACCAACCGCGTCTCTTGCTGCGATGCTCCGCTCCCTTCTCCTTTCTCTTTTCGCGCTTGCGGTCGTTCCGCCGTCTCTTGTCCTTCTCGTAGCGCTCTGGTTCGGTGACGGCTTCGATCCGTCGCTTGACACGTCTGTCTTCACGTCTCTCCTTGATGGAATCGTGCACTTGCGCCATGATCTGCACGTACTCGGTCGTTCCAAGCTTCTTCTGCAGGATGTCCAGGACCTCGTGGCAGTTGGAGACCAGGCCCTTGTAGGTCTCTCGGAAGACCTCGTCTGAGGAGCGAGGAGCTGGGATACTGGTATCCGTCATGTGCTGCAGAGGGAGGAGGATGACGGGCAGGGAGTCACGGATCTGTTCAACTTCGAGATGGCGGCAGAGCGAGGCAAAAAGACCGATGGAAGCGGTCTTCGGAATCAAAGATTCAGCCCGCGTGGTAAGCAGCTCTCTGCGCAGGATGGAAGATGTCTGCTCGAAGATGTAGTGAATGGCCGTCTTCGTGGCGCCAGTTTGGCGTCCAGCCTCGTCCTCCGCCTCATCCTCGCTATCGCTAGCGTCCGAGTCAAGTTCCTTGTTGCCGGTCTTGGCGAATTCAAGGCCGTTCTGAGCGCAGCACCGGCCGAGGAAAATAATGTTGCGAACCGACTGCATGGCGAGCTCCTCGCTGACTGCCGGGGTGCGAAGAGAGCGCAAACTGGCACGGATCAGCTGCAGCATGGCGTCCTTGTCAAGCGACAATCCCATGGAACCAGCCAATGGGATTGAACCATATCCATTTGCAGCATTGTTCTTGGCCAGGTCCGCAAGCCATGTGCCGACGAGATTCGCTGCGCAGGTCTTGACCCAGGCGTGAGGGTAAAACAGGCATTCACGGATAGCGGCCCAGAGCTTGGTGCGCTCCTTGGCCAGCGCGATTGCCGGTACAGACTTGCAAAGCTTGGTGTAGAGCTGAAGGGAGAAGTAAAGGGCTTGCCAGTTTTCAGTCTCCTCGGCCTTGAGGACAGGTTGCATGATGGCCAGGAGCACATCTACGACGAAGCGAGCCTCATTGTCCTTTTCAGTGCCTTCCACTTCGAAGTAAATTCTCATAGCCTGTAGACCGGTACTGGTGAGAAGCATGTTGTCCGTTTGCTCCAGCCAAGAATGAAGAGGCGTGAGCATGGCCTTCATCTGCTCCCTGTCTGCCCTAGTGTAAAGCTCTCCCAGTAGGGTACCCGCCATTTCCCTGCACTCAGGCGCGTCGTCATTCGCCATCACCATGACCACCGGAAGGAAGAAGGTACTGACAATGTCTTGCGCCAGCTCGTCTCCAGTCTTAGACAGCAGCATGTGAATTGCCTCCATGACTGATTGGCGACCGTCCTGGTGCTTGTAATCCAAGTTCTTGGCGAGGAAGCTGAGTTGTTTGGTCCAGCGATTCTTGGCTTGCGGGTATTCGATCAAGAAGTGAATGTAGGTACCACGAGCAAGGTCCCGGGCAGCACGAGTCTGGTTCGTAACCATCATGGTAGCGATGCTATCCATCAGTTCGTACACTTCAGGAACCACGAACTTCCTTGCCATAACAGCCCGGATGAAGTTGAAGGTGACACCTTGGCGGTCAGGCTCTTCGATGTCGGCAGTAACTCGTTGAAGAAGGTATGCAAGATGTCCGTCTCTGAGCTTGGTGCTCTTTCTCTCACGGAGCATAGCCGAGACCAACTTCAAAGATGCCTGCGCAGCCTCCGTGTTCGTACTCGGGGCCTCCTTGATCACCTTGACTGCTTCGGTGAAATAGACGTGAGAGTTGCTGTCAAGCTCGGGGATCGGGAGCTTGATGATGGTTGACAAGAGACGGAGAGCCGAGATCTTCACTTCTTCGTGTGCCTGTACTAGCGAATCGCCGATGATTGGAATGAATCCCTTTAGATTAGCCGGCGTAAGCAGGGAGCCGAACTTGCTCAAAATTGCACGCAGAACATCAAGAGAGAAGCGCGTCAACTTGTGGATGTAGGAAGAAGTAGTGCCCTTCTTCTCGCCCCGCTTGGACCCGCGTAGGTCGATCTCCAGGTTCTCGGCCTGTTGAGACTTGGGGGCCTGTGCCTTGACCTGAGCCGGTGCACTGTACGTCTCCTTGACGACTTCATAACAGAAGACAAGGATATCGCGGCTTTCAACACCAGGGTTTCTCAAAAGACCAACACCAATTCTCCGCAAGAGCTCGTCGACCTTTCTCACAATGTTGGAGGTAAGCTTCTCTCGAAGAAGCGATTGAAGCGGCCGAACCAGGTTAGCCAGATTAAGCACTGTGGAGTTCTTCGCGAGAAGCTCCATGGAGTCGAAACTCTTGCTGCTCTTGACTTCCTTCATCTTACTCACGTATTCCTCGGCTTCCTTCTCCTGGCCAACTGTGCCAAACGTGTCATCCATGACAATAGCACTCAAGTCAGGCAAGCAGTAATCCAGGTCACCCTGCTGGAAATCATCTGTCGTCGCCACGAGCATTGAGTGGACTGTGAATGACAAAACGTGAAGCTGGTAACCCTTCGTGAGAGTAGTTCGAAGCTCTTTCAGGATGTAGCCGAAGTACGATGGGCCCAGCAAAAGGGCAATGTCGTTCAGGGTCTTCCGAGCAGTGTCCCGAGTTTCCTGGGTACGACTCTTGAGGATACTGCATACATCCAAGAGGACAGGTGGGAGACGGATGGACATATCGTCCTCGGGCAACAACTTGAGCAGCTTGATCGTTGTGACCGAAGCGGGTAGACGCAGACTCATCTGTGTCTCGTTCTTGTGGTGGATGAAATCCGTCAAGAAGGGGGTAAAGTTTGTGGTCAGCTCAGTAGCAACCTTGGCCACAGATGGGATAGACCGAGCAAGTGTAGAAACAGGGCTAGAGGTCTCGAGCCCATCCATTCCATCCTTGGCCGCCGCTTTGATCGTCGTATGCTGGTTCATGGCATTGGTCAAGGCATCAGCCATCTTGCCCAGGAGTCTAATGATGTTCTTCTCCATGTCGGACTTGCTCTGCATGTAACCGCGGTATCTCCGGAAGATAGCCCTGAACTGGTTCCAATCCAGCCATTCTGCAAGGGCTCCGATAGTTGTTACAGCTTCCGCGATGAGGTTATGAGTAGCCTCGTCGGCTTCCTCATCAAAGACAAAGTGCTCATTGAGGGGAATGAAGATCGTGCTGATGTTCGAAGCCTGGATGTTTCCTTTGGCCGCCTCGCTGGCAAGACGGCGAAGCGCCCGCAGACGACGATGCTGCTGAATGTGGAGAACATTGTTGAAGAAAGACGCTTCTTCATCGTCACCGACAAGCAAGACGTGCATATCCTGAACATTAGGACGCTCTGGGTTCAGCTTGACAAAGTAACCAAGGGCAGTGATGAACTCGGATCGAATGAGCTCAGACTTCTGGCGAACGCCGCTCTGCAGAGCAGGAAATAAGACGTCTGCCACCAGAGGCTCAAAAGCCTCAACATCATTGAGAACTGCCCGTTCCATGAATCGACGCAATCCAAACGAAGCGCTTGACCGAATCGAGAGTTCCTCCTCATCCTTAACCTGGTACAGCATGTTGTAGAGAAGAGGCCGCCATTGCTTGGCATTGAGCTTCTCCCACAGGTTCTCATTCACTTCCCTGAAAGCTGACAGACGGCGGTCATAGTCCACCTCGAGTCTCTTAGTAGACATGGAGTTGAGGTCCTCGCAAAGGGCAGCGACATGAACAAGCTCCTCATCGCGTTTGGCGAAAGCAGTAAAGACACGGGCCAAAACTTCTCTGTTGGCATTGTCCCTGAAATAATCGAACATCGACGACACTGCTTCGAACACTTCTTGGGACAGATTAGCATCCTCCTGCGGGTTAAAGAGAGGCAAGAAATGTTCCAAAGATTTTAGCAGGCCAGACTTGGTTCTCGGAGAGACGCGGTCTGGAGGCTGACGGAGTAGATAAGTAGTGATGCTGATAAGACTAGTTGTCTCCTCCGAGGACTCAACGCACGGTGCGAGCAGAGACAGGGTCTGTACGCCAGAAATCAGGAGGGGCCGGGAAGGACCGCGCTTGAGGAGCCTGCCAAGATGAGACAAAGTGTGCTCGATATAAGGCGACAAGACCTCGGACCGAATTTCGTCGGCAGGGATATCGCTCATCTTCTCCTGCTCTTGAAGCTCCTTGCCAGTTGAGAGATTGATCAGGGGCACTAAGATCTCGTCCATGACAAAAACCTTGACTTCATCACGGGCCGAATCCACACCCAGGCAGTCCACGACCTTCTTCAGCAGAGCATCGTTGTATTGGACAAGGTAGAATGATGACTTAGGAGCAGAGGCCCAGACATGGAACAACTTGAGGAGACCTGATACACCCTGAGCCGTTTCGGTTGCAAAGTTCTCGAGCCTGGGGTTAATCACGTCCTCATAGATTATGCGCACGTAGGGCGACCAATCCTGATCTTGGGTGTTGGAGAAGATAAGCTCCAGACAACGGATACATGTGTGTCGAATATTGCGCAAAACGGTTAACAAACGACCCTCTGGTGAATCGGCAGCGGGTGCCTGGTCCTTTTCAATCTCGCGGCATGCCCGAACGAGACAGTAAAGAACAACCTGCATAGACTTCTCTGCGTAAGGGACCATCCGGCTTTGAAGCGTCTCGAAAACGGTTTCAATCATCTTCAACAAACCAGTCTGGCGTCTAGGGCTGACAAGTTCTTGTTCGAAAGCTTGTTGATTGACCTGGTTGTCCTGGACCAAATCAAGTTCTCCAAGTGCTCCGAAAGAAACCTGCATGAAGATCTCGAATTCCTTATCAGGCAGCTGCGACAAAGTTCTGAGGACAGCCTTTCTGCGGCCGGCTTGGCCTGCCTGGCCAGAGCTTGCACCAGCCTTCGAGATCATGCGACCATACAGAAGCCGGAGGAGAACAGGAACAAGCTCGACCCGGTGGGCTTCTTCGATCAGATTATCGTCACCCCCGATACGGACGAATACAGAGAGCTCATCCTTGAAACGTGACTCATCCAGAATGTTCAGAAGATTCTCTTGGTAAGGGGTGATGCTCGCAGACTTCCAGGTGAAAAGAGCTTTGAGTGCAGATTTTTGGATCTCAGAGTTACCGTGGCACAGCAAGCCCATGAGGGCTTCATGGACCTCTGGTGCCTTGTACAGCACACGAGGGTTAATGAATTTTCCAAGGAGAGCGAGGAAAGACAGCCGATCATGGAAGCCCCATGGAATATAGGAGTCAGCAGTGTCAGAATCACCACCAGTAGGAACATCTTCCTCGTCACGCAGAGCCCAAGAAAGGAACAATGGAATAACCTGGCGAGACTTCTTCTCAGCAATGTTCGGTACGGCATTGAGAACACGCAAAGCCTGTGTCCTCGGCGATGCCGGAATGACGCCGGTGAAGGTGTGGTCCTTCTCAAATCCTTCAGCCAAAGTCGTAGCCGGACTCTCCGGGTTTTCGAAGTATTTAGAAGAAATGTCTTCAATTTTGGCTGCATTGGAGCAAGTGTAGTGTCCTCCGACATAGGACTCGGGGTCCTCCTCCTCCGCATCTGTCGTTGCGTCGCCCGACCCTCTCTCATGGAGCCACTGGAATGCCAAGTCTGAAACTATCTTTTCGCCCTCGGGGTTTTCGCACATCGACTTCATGGCAGCAGCAGCATCGTCCCACAGAGGCGCCATCTTCTTGGACAACAAACCAAAGCAGAAATTGGGGAGCAGTCTAGCCATCCATCTGCGCGAAACGACCTGCGGGTAAGCCAGTGCAAGCTTGCGCACATGCATTGCCAGAACCCTAGCGCTCTGCAAGGTCAACGGGCTCTCCTCGATTTCGATTGCCAGAGAGACAAGTTCAGCGTCTTCTCCAGAAGCCAAGATGAGTTCACGCAAAATCCTCAAGGACAACAACCGCAGCTTGTGGGAGGGACCGCTAAGATTGGAGATTAAGACTTCCGCAAATTCTTCGATGGCTGAGCCCTTAATGTCGATATCCTTATTGCACGCTGAGATGTAGTCTAACGTGGCCTGGAGGAAGACCGGGAGGCGAGAGTATTGCGCCGCGACCTTGCTAATACGGTCCCAGAGAGTCTTGTCGAGTTCGTTAGCAGTCGTCGCAAGGTCCACATAAGTCTTGAACCCTTGGCCCAAGAAAAGCTTGGTTGTAGCGGATGTATCAGGATTCTTCTGCTTTAATACGCGAACAAGATGCCTATGAAGAGTGCTGGTCATTTCGGGTATGAGAGACGGTTCCGCTGAAAGCGACAAGGCGCTGGGGAGTTTGGCGTATGCGCTGAGTAGAGTAACTTCAGTATCATTGTGGTCAGACTTGCTGAAGGTGTCTTTGACCCGGGATTTCCAGGAAGCAGGACAAGTGATGTAGCCAGGCTTGGAGACCTCAGACGTGATGCAACCAGCCTGGTTCAGCCGGAGCAATGCCAGGCAAAGGTCGTGCTCGTGATCTTGCCATGAATTATTGACAAACTTTTGGAAATAAGGAAGGACAACACTGTGGAATCTCTCCGGTCCCCATTCCGAAAATGTGGCACAGAAACCGAGGAAGTGCGTCGAAAGTTCGTCCTTGCTCACAGCGTCCATGATCGAGCGCATGAATGGCAGCATCTCATCCATAGGAGAAACTTGTAGCGCATAGGCGACTGCGGTAAGAAGCTGTGGGGTGGCTTCGGCGTATGCACTAGACGCACCTGCAGCGTTCTGGAGCAAAAGGAGCAGTGTCTGATGAACGGGCTTCCAGTTCTTGACCCTGGTTCCCTTGCGAGTAGCAATACACAGGAAAATCAGCCGGCAGCATGCATTGGCGTGCTGCTTCTCCCCTTTACGGCAGTTCTTTTCGATATACGTTTTGATGAGATCAAGAATCGGCTCGAAGGTGTCGGGTGTAGTGCAATGGATGATGTTGATCACAACTCCGCTAGCAACGTCCAGTCCCAGACTGCTCCGTAAATCGTCGCCGGTTGAGATATGGTCCAAGATACAGCTGAGAATGTCGGCTCCGTTGGAGTGAATGCCGTACTTGACACCCTTGATGGCGTCGGCAAACATCGCCATGAGACCTTCCTTATACATCTCCACATTGTTTCCGTCTTCGGCAGCCTGGCGTAGGTCATCAAGTAGGAAGGACACGGCGCGCTGGAGGGGAGTTGCATTTTTGTAATAGACGAGGCCGGCCTTGCGGATAAGGAAGGACATGGACTCGGCGGCGAAGCGGGCAACAAACGACTTTTGGCGCTCTTTTCCGAGGTACGGCGTCATGATACCAAGAAGCTGTCTAAGATCGGGCACCAAAAGCCGGGAAAGGAACTTGAAGATCCAGGCCAAACAGCTGAAGGACCACTCGACGACCTCGACATCGGAATGGCTTGCGGCAACGGACGCCACCAGAGTGACCGCCGTCGCGAAATGCTTCTCAAACCTGACGCCCAAATCCCTTGCGAACTGGGCCATAAGACCCAGCAGCGGCTCCATCGACAAACTGTCCCTCTTCTCAATGAATTCCACCAGCAGGCTCATAATCTTGTCCTCGTGGTACAGAATCTGGGCCAAACTCTCGCACAGCGGGTTCACCTTGCGGACAAAGTGGACGAAATTATCCGACAAATTCAACTCGACCCAGTGCTCGAAGGCCGACCGGAAGTAGGACGAGGTCTCATCGGCTTCTTCCCCAAAGCTGGGTCGGCGCACACGATGGATGGGGTCGATCTTCAACTTTGCGACACGCTGGGAAAACGGCTCGAATCGATGCGACTTGGTCGTCTCTGTGCCACCCTTCACGCGCTTCACGGGCTTAGCCCGCGAAGACGACGACGCTGCGACCATCTTGTAATATGATGGCGACGACACGAGCAGCGTCGTTACAATAATTAGTCAAAAGTCAAGGGGTGGATATCTCCGACTCTCCTCTCTGCCTGTGTAATAGTATAGACAAAAAAATTCATCGGGGCCGCGGCAACCTTGTTCCGGTGCGGAGATTAGCTCACCGCCCGGCCTTATGCAGCGTATGTGCTAGCCACATCAGGTTAGGTACGCATCACGTGCCATGCATGTGGCCCAAGCTCCTCGAATCCATTTTTGGCGATTTCGGCATAACTCGAATATTCCTCGTTCAATAGCATCAGTTGGTGGAGCAAACGCGCATTGGCATACATCTTTGGATCTCTTTAGACTTCTATCAGGGAGTTTTCTACCATATCTTGACCCTGACATATACCAGTTGCAGCGACAGACACAATTCGAATATCTCACCCTAATATGTTAAAGCTGCTTCTTGCATCATAGTACTAGTAACCGTGATATTCCCTTCTCCAACATGGCGTCGAAGATGTAAGTCTACCTCAACTCACTCTTCGGAGCACTTTACTAACTCCCTTCCAGAGTCGTCATCGGAGACGTCAACTGCGAGCTGCAAGACGTCTTCACCAAGCTCTCCAAGCTGCATATCAAGCAAAACTTCTCCTTCGCCATCATCGTCGGCGACCTCTTCGGCGACTGCTCCACAGAGCATGAACTCGAGCAGATCAGCGCCCTGCTCCAAGGCAACATTGTCGTGCCTCTCCCCACCTATTTCACCCTGGGCAGTCGTCCTCTCCCCACGCGCATCATCGAGGCCATCGAATCCAAGGACGAAGTCTGCCCTAACCTCTACTTCCTGGGCCGCCGCGGCACCCTCAAGACCTCCGAAGGCGTGCGCCTCGTCTCTCTAGGAGGCACACTCGACCCCGAGTCCAAATCCTCCGACAAATACCACCCCTCCTACACCGAATCCGACGCCCGCGCCCTCTACGGCGCCCACCAAGCCGACATCCTCATCACCCACCAATGGCCCAAGGACATCCGCACCGGCTCCAAAGCCCCCTTCCCCGACACCACCGACACCCCTCCAACAGAAGTCCAATGCATCGCCGACCTCTGCTCAACCCTTAAACCACGCTACCACCTCTCCTCCTCCAGCGCCTTCTTCTGGGAGCGTGAACCCTTCTTCCACCTCCCCACCGCCGACACCGACAACCCGGACGCCAAACCCCTCACCCGCTTCATCAGTCTGGCCGCCTACAGCAAAACCACCAAAACCAAATGGATGTACGCCTTCACCCTCGACCCCAAAGCGCCCCCAGCCCTCACCATCCCAACGGGCACAACCGCACCCCCCTTCGCCCCCATCCCCACCAAACGCAAACCCCTCCAATCCCAACGCGACTCCTACCACCGCTTCGCCGTCGACGACGACGACAACAACCGTCCCCGCAAAAGACGCGCTCGCGCACCCCCTCCAGGCCCAGACCAATGCTTCTTCTGCCTCTCCAACCCCAACATCGCAACCCACCTCATCACCTCCATCGGCGACGAAGCCTACCTCACCACCGCAAAGGGTCCCCTCCCCACCTCCAAAACCTTCGCCTCTTCCTCTCTCAACTTCCCCTCCCACATGCTCATCATCCCCTTCTCCCACTCCCCCACCCTCTCCAGCATCTCAGACCCCACCTCCAGACAATCCACCTACGCCGAAATGCACCGCTACCGCTCCGCCCTGCACTCCATGCTACGTCACCGCGCAAATAACTCCCTCGGCGCAGTCACCTGGGAAGTCTCTCGCGGAAACGGTATCCACATCCACTGGCAATTCCTCCCTGTGCCTGCTGATCTCGTGCACCGGGGTCTCGTCGACGCCGCGTTCAAAGTCGAGGCCGAGAATCTGAAGTATCCGAGATTCGAATCTCCATCTCAACCTAATGATGGTGATGAGAGCGCTGAACCGGGTGACTTCTTCCGCGTGTGGATTTGGGAGCCCCCGCAGGCTGCTGCTGAAGCTGAGGCTGAGGCTGGAAAGGATGGTGAGAAGGGTGGTGATAAAGGTAAGGAGAAAACGCTTCTCCTCCCTCTTAGTCCGGACTTCCGGTTCGATCTTCAATTCGGACGCAGAGTCATGGCGAAGTTGATGGGGTTGGAGAAGCGCATTAATTGGAAGGATGATGTGCAGTCTGTGCAGGAGGAGGAAGCGGATGCGGAGGCCTTTAAGGAGGCGTTTAAGGAGTGGGATTTTACGTTGGAGTAGATAACTACTGCTATTTTCTCGAGAATATATACTACTAGAATTTGGCATTCAGGTGGGTGAATTGGATTTGTGTGGTGTTATGTACTATTATATCAATGGAATATTTAGCTGAGATCTGAGCTTGGTTTCATATACTATCGAGGATTACTCCATAGTACTTATTATAAATAAGGAAAATAGTCTGCATATAATTTGAGGTACGACCGAATCAACGGTTTTGTATTTTCTCAAGAATCACTCTAATAAAGCCACTCGGGTAACCCTATCCAGGCATGACAGGTGCCGTTCGTTATACTGTCTATCATTTGATTCAAAACATACATCATGCAAAAAGGGTTCGGTTTGGTTGGGTCATAGCGGGCCGGAGATACGAAGGGTAGAATCTATATGTACAAGCGGTATGAAGAGGAAAGGGTACTAGTCACCAGGGCACCTGGTGACGAAGCGAGAGGGGCTCTTGAAACGAAGGGATGCCGGATAAGGCATCACGGATCTAGCCAATAGATTTGGCTGTTGCGATGTGGCTTGGAGCGGTTTGCTCGGACTTGCAGGCTTGATTAGAAGCCTGCTTTGACGCGTGAGTGTCAATATGTCCATCACGCTGCTCCCATAAATGGGCGTTCCAAGCACATGCAGGAGGGCCAGCATTGGCCACGAGACCAATTGCTGATAGTATTGTGGTTACTGTGAGTCGAAGGTAACTTAAAAGTTGGTAGGCCTGCGTCCGCTCTGCAAAAGACTCGGGGGCCGGCCCGGTTCATTGGCTTCGCGAGGCGCAGGGGTCGTAGAGAACGGAGGAGGGGGCGACGTGGGAGTCGCTGGGGACATGTTGCGGTATGGCGGTGCCTGGAAGCCGGGGGAAGGCTGGCGGTACGGGACCGGTCGAGGCGCATTCATAGCCGAGTGGAGCGTCGGAGCTGGAGAGAAGGTCCTGTTAATCGGCATCGGCTGTCCGTACGTGCCGGTATCCGGAGGCATCTGATGCTGCGGCATGTAGTGCGGGTGCGCAGGCTCTGGGGGCATATAGTTCGGGTGCATGCCGTCCATGGGCATCTGGTATGGCTGCATGCCATCCATAGGTGCATGATGAGGCTGAGTCGCGTCCATAGGCATATACTGCGGTTGCGTGGTATAGGTGGGAGCAGGTGACATGTTATGGAAGCGGTCCTCATGAGGATACTCGCTGTAAGGCTGGTGCTCATATGGAGAAACGGGCGGAGGCGACCGTGGGCCGGGCGCGTGATAGCCATATGCGTCCGGTTCATCATATCCGTCGTATCCTCGAGGCTCAGCATGGTATGCGCCTGGCGCAGCAGGCGTTCCGGTCCTCAATGGCGCAGCAGGTGTTCCAGTTCTCAACGGTGGAGGGCCCCCGTAGCCTCCCGTAACAGACCGGGCTCCAGAGGGCATGCGACGAGGCTCCTGGTTCGCATTGCTCAGAGGCTTCATCTCGAGTGATTCCGCGTGGGGGTTCTCATCCTCGACCTTCTTTGTCACGGCACTTTCCCAGGTAGGCATGGCGGGCAACGCATCCTCGTCAAACTTTCCGTTCGCAGGACTCGACGGCGTATCGAATCGAGCAACCTCTGCTCCACGGTACACGGGCGGTGCCTGTGGTTGGTAGGGTGTCTGATAGGCGTTGTTCATAGGTGCTGGCATGGTCGGCATGGCAGGCATGGGGGGCGGTTGATCATATTGGTCGTCCAAGTACTTTTGCTTGTTCCTCTTTCTCTTGAAACCCGGACAGCACTTGAAGCAACATCCACAACAGCATTTGCAACATTGCACACCACAGCACAGGCAATTGATCACGCAGGCGATGACGGAGAGGACAATCAGCGCGGCGATGATGATAGCGACGATAACAGGCCACCTAGGTAGTAGTCTGAGTCAGAAGGCATCCAACAAGCAGCAATTGAAACAGAAACTCACTTGCAGTAAGCCTTGGACATGCACTTGTCCCAACTAGTGAACGTACTGGCGTCGGACTTGAGATCGCTCACAACATCCCTCGCCCACAAGGGGACGGAAGCCTTATCCACCGGACTCATTATCCTGGCAAGACGTGCGCGATCCACCAGGAAATCCTTCGAGTCCCACAGCCGACCAAAGACGGTATAGAGCGTGTTCCTGACACACGGCGGGCGTATTCATGCAACAAATGCACGGTATGAGATAAGCGACTGTGCACCAAGGGATAGTTTCTTTCAATCCGGTTTTCGAAGTAAGTTGGTTTAATGAACGGTTAGCAGAGACACATCTGGCTTTGCCTTCTGACACTGATTTGGTATCGTAATGAGTGGCTCAATTTGCGGCGTTGCGCGACAGTCGCACCGAGGGAAGGGAGGGAGAGGAGAGCGCGCAAGTGCTCAACCAGGCGATCGGAATTGATTCAAGGAGAGACACAAGAAATAGCGATAATCTATTCTTGTAAAAAGGAGAGACTTCCTCCAAAACAGGGAGGATGAAAGAGAGAGATCCGAATCGTCAGATGAAGATGGACGAGAGAAAAGCAATGAATGTGGAAATTAATGATGGTGGTGGTAGTGGTGGTGGGTGTGTAGTGCGGACCGCGAAACAGTGCGCCGCCACAGCCTCCCAGGGGAATTGGGATAGATTTATCGGATCATGTGCAGATCGCCAGGGAATCTGCAAGGCGGACACAATAAGTCGCCAGATGCGATACCTCCTCGAACCACCAGCAAAGGAGAGACTCTGGTCGTGAGGGATGAAAAAGTTCGTCCCTGAGGCCGAAAAGAAGGGAAGG